GCTTTCTGGAACTTTCACGTATCAGTCGTTAATGAAAAAAAAACGGACAATGAAACGGAAAGCGTGGTTGAACCCTTTCACCCCACTATAGACCATAATGGACTCATCCATATCAATACATGGTAGAGTCTACTAAAGTTATATTGGGGTGAAAGGGTTAAAAATCCAAGCAAAAACAAAATCACTATATATGAACTGTAAGCAAAACCGAAATTACCAAACGAAATCGATAAAGCTAGAGGAAATAGGAACAAAGTGAAGGTATACACACATCCCTTAAAAAGTTTAATCAGGATAAGACCAGGTGTGTCATTAGGGTAGGCGGCGTCTGCTTCACGGACGGTACAAGTGACGTAAATCAAGGTAAGGTCCAAGCAATGTCACACTCTCAAAAAAAGGTTTTGGACGATGACAACGACACCAGATGCATATTAATGGTCATAATGGAATAGCTTCCATATTCATATTGCAAAAGGAAAACTGGATCCCCATTGATATCGGGATATTAGCCATAATACCATTGTCATTCCTTATTCTCTAGAATTGAGATAAACAAGTTTTAGGTCCTTTAGGCCGTAGGTTGTTATTGTATGGGCGGTCGAATGAACACGGTCGCAGTCTATTCTCATTCCAGAGGGTAATTACCATTAGCTCATTGGTTGATCGTCTGCCTGACTAATACCAGGGTTTGGGGTGGTTAGTATACCAAGCAAATATCATCAAAATTCTATATTTACATTTGCGCTGCACCCCACTTTATGAACGTTACCAGCAGAAATGCATTTTATTCGAATATGAAAGCAAACATGCCGTTCAATCCCCATATACTTCCTTCAAAATTAAGGCGAGTCTTTTTCCAAATATATCGAGTCAGCTGATGTTAGGCTAAATGTATGCATTTTTAATAGGGCTGCTGCGATATGGTCTTCTGATGGTAGTCCCGCTCGATATCTTTGAAAAAATACATGTATTGGGCCTAGTATCCTTCCTACCAAAGTCCCTCACTGGACAAATTTCACGGCTTATCGATGTGTCTGTTGCTATCTGATAGACTGATAGTTTCGACAAAATCTTTTACAAGAATGATATCGGAATTCAATGAAACCTTCCTGATTGATTATTTGACGTTCGACAGAAGTCATGCTTATTGAGACTGACTGATGTAGTCTAATATTAGCTGACGGTTTCAGATGCTACTGTTTATAAAACGTATATCATTTACTTGTACTTGATCAGTACTTACACTTTAACACGTGAACTAAGAGGAATGTTCAAAATGTCGTCTTCAATTTAGCGGTGATACCGCTGGTGAGAGTATGAAGTTGTTGTGACGTCACTTAACAACAGGCGACATGTGAGGGTGACGACCTCGTACGGAAACACGTGGGTCGGTCTAAGTTACGGGTCATTACTTTCACCTTAATTGAGAAAATCAGGATTACGTTTCCATCTCTTCAGAACGACATGCGCTTATATTAAACCATAGTATAAATAAATTATTTCACCACACATTTACAGCCGATAGAAACCATTGAAAGCGCCATCCCTTGTCAGAACTTCTTTGAAAATCAGAATATTATTAGCTTATATAAAGCAATCTTAATTAGTTTGTGGCGGATCGTTTGATGATCCTGGAATCGGAAAACAAAACGGTGAAACTTATATTTTTTCAAGAGAAAAGAAAAGCAAATCGCAATTCTGCAGATAGCAATTCTGAACGTGTTTTATCTGCACTATGACATAGAATATAACCAATAGAAAACCTGTATCATATCATAAACATATTTTAACTTTCAAAATATTTTTCAAAGTGATGTATTATTTATAGGAGATGATTTGTGTATGACAAAAGCTGTTTGAAATTATCCTTGTCGTTTTTGTATGCGTGGCCACTGACAAGCTTTTCATTCAATCGTTCATGTGATCGCTATAGTGACACAAAACCAGGTATACATGATTGTACCTGTACAGTGTGAAATATAATCTGCCCACACATTTAGGTGTTTTAAACCTTATTATAATAATATATAATAGCCTGGAAAATAATGAGGCCTATTGCATGAACATATTTAAATCAAATGAGTAGGTGTCGTCTGATGTTAATAAGATTTAGAAAATTTACTCCCATCAAATGCTATCGTAAAAAAGTGACACTAGTACGATCTCTGACGTAATCACATAACAACGTAAATATTGTCAAATCGTTTGCATAATATATCCTGCTATTTCAGGAAATATGATACACTGAATATTCAATAGTTATGTTTCCAATACTATCAGTAAGTCAGTGTAAAGCATGTTTTCGCATCTGATATTCGTAAATACCACATTTTTTGTTCACCTGGCCCGAAGGGCCAAGTGAGCTTATGGCATGGTGCGGCGTCTGTCGTCCGTATTATTTGGCTACCAAGTTTGTTCAAATAAATGACCTTCACCGATATTCAAGGTCACAGGGGTGAAATATGTTAAAAACTTTAAACAACTTTTTCTGAATAACTGAAATGCCCAGGGTGATGATATTTGGTCAGTAGCATGCTGGGATGAAGGGCTACCAAATGTGTTCAAATGAATGGCCTTGACCCAATTTCAAGGTGACAGTGGTCAGATGTCTTAAAATCTATAAATGACTTCTTCTCAATAACTAAAAGGCTTAGGGAACTGATATTGGGCCTGTAGTATGCTTGGATAAACGGCTACCAAGTTTATTCAAATGAATGACCTTGAACATTTTCAAGGTCACAGGGGTCAAATGTCTTAAAATCTTCAAACAATTTCTGCTCAATAACCAAAAGCCCTGGGTACTGATATTGGGCCTGTAGCATGCTGGGATAAAGGGCTACCAAGTTTGTTCGAGTGAATGACCTTGATCCACTTTCAAGGTAACAGGGGTCGAATGTCGTAAAATCTTCAAACAACTTCTTCTCAATAACCAAAAGGCCCAGGGTACTGAAATTTGGCCTGTAGCATGCTGGGATGAAGGGCTACCAAGTTTGTTCAAATAAATGACCTTGACCCACTTTCAACCTTATGTACTTGTTCGACATTCAAGGTCAAAGGCATCATATGTTTAAATCTTTTAACCGGTTCTTATGAATCAAACACTGATATTCTGCCCGTAGCTGTATTTCAGTCCACTTTTAAGATTACAAGTGTGTGATTAATACCAGGTGAGCGATGCAGGCCCGTTGGGCCTCTTGTTATCTTTTAGATTCATGAAGCAAACATTCCAAATCTTATATTCAATTTGTCATTTAGTTGACTGTTTATTTATATATTTATTGGGCTTTTTTTGGCCTTACATCCTTGTGCCAGTCAGACCTGAGCCTAGGAAAGTTGTCTGTGGGAAACCATTGACTTATCTCAATCAATTGCTACACCATTAAAGTAGATGGCCGTCGGATGGAAGTAGAAATCAAACTGTGTTCATAATGACGCGCCGAAATTCATTTTGTTTTGAATGTGTGTATGCTTTAAATTTCAAATATCATTTTTATTTATTTTGCAACAATTACGAAATAGGTTTTATATCAACTTATATTAATTACTCTTGATGGCCCCCGATGCTAACGCGCAGGGGGTCTGAATGTGGAAGGAAACCGGAGTACTCGGAGAAAACCGAACAAGTTACTCCATACTTTTTCAAGTCCGATCGGGGAATCGAACCCTGGCCGTCTTGGTGAAAGGCGAGTGTGCTATCCGCTAAGCCATCCAACTACCCTGATCACGGTAAAAGATATCCGCTTTGAGCAAGATATTGATTTTTCGCGTGTAATGACCATTTACAGGCTCTGGTTTTGTTCGACAAATGCCACCTATGAGACCGTAGAAGGATGTGACGATTATACAATGAAGTGTGGACTAGACTCCGACATTATCCCCGGATTCACCGTATGCTACATCGGGTCAAATCGGGAACTAATTGTTCCTAAGAAAGATTACATTTACCTGTAAATCGCTCCCATATAGCGGCACACAGGCTAATGCATTTTGACACTTATCGGTCTAAGAAAGTCAGACAGACAGGAAATCAATGGGTTCACATCGACCTAGTGTATGGACAGAAGTTCGCATGTACGTTGTGGTCAATTCAAATAAGATTGAGTAAGAAACAGATTGGTTGTATTCTGTAACGACATATATTTCTAACGAATAAGAAAGCACGAGCTTATTGCGCGGACGAATATATATTAACGAGTGCGCGGAGCGCACGAGTGAATATATACGTCTGCGCAATAAATAAGTGCTTTCTTATTCGTTAGAAAAACACAAGTGTGTGGTCTTGCTTTTATCAGGTACCTTCCTTATTTGGTAGAGATCGATACAAAGATTTTATAAACTTTGATATTTTTTGCAAATACAGGGAACTTTTCAGTTCGCCATGACAAGGGGATTCCAATAAAAAGTAGTTCCGGCTAGTTGGTAAATACAACATTCCGTATTGCACATGTACATGTACATTACAGAACGTTGTATTTCATGGTCTGAAAATTGCTTGTATTACTATAACAAGATTCAACAGGTATGTGATAACATAACGTATTGAATTTTGACGGAGAGAATTTATATAGGCTTTGCCTGTTATTCAATCCAATTGATTATGACATCTTGTCAATAAAATTTGATGACATGAAATGAAACGTATTGTATCGTGGTACTTTCTTGTGTACCGTATCGAATTGTTTTTTGTTTGCTGTATTGCGAAACACTAGCAGTATTTGAATTATCATTTTTATTTTTATCAAACTCTATAAAAGTGTACCGATTGTTTGAATCCTTCAGTGAAGATACCCAAAAATACTAAATATTATACAAAAATATTTTTCGATATTATTCATAATTGAAGTCTGACAAAACTCGATAAAATCCTGCACTCAATCAATATTGTAAACAAACAAACAAACAAGCCGTTGCCCCGAAGGCTTGTTGAACCGTAACACCGGAAATAACCCCAAAGACACGTTACCATGAACGCCAAATACGCGCCACACATTGTCTGACAATCGACGGACGATGTGGAGGATGTACCTGTAGGCTTGTTTTAATCCCCAAAAGTATTCGACACGTCGCGTGCTCAAGGATTCTTCACAGAGAACTGGAGCATTTCCTATATAAAAATCGGCCGAGGTCCAGACACAAACAAAGTCGTCTGGTTTAAAACAGTCTATTTTTACAGCCAAATACTTAGTGATATCGATGAAGGAGACATCAATTTTCACCTGTACTCTATAGCTAGATGTACATGTATGCGCGGTGACAGTGATACTAAACACATACCTTGCGGGGTCATTCTATAGCCGAGGAGACGAACAGGTGTGTGTGACCAGCATAACACAGGACCAATTTCCATGGATGTTTTTAACCAGAAACAACGTCATTACTAACCTCAGGTAGATATTAATTAGTTACTTACGATTGTACAAAAAAATACCGAAGTCTCGTCCGTTTTATTTCCGAAAAAAACCTTGTTTTGATTTAATGTTATACATATGTAATAGGTACTGAAACGTATTAATGGTTTCATGTTTAAAACCTTAAATCGTATCATCTAAAATAAAAGATAACGAATAAAATTAATTACACAACTTAAATTCACTTCTGATACATAGGTATGCTTTATATGTTAACAAGAATAGTTTTCACCAACATCTTACGTGTTCCCGTCACTGTACAGAATATTTCCTCACTGAAGACAATTTCAACAAACATTTTTATCCGTGTTGTTACTGATGTTTATTCAAAACGTAGAGTTAAACTCCATATACAATATGCTAATTATGCTACAAAGACAGTTATACATGAAAGGCGGAGCGCGTTCACATCGGTACCCTTTCATATTCCAAGTCTCCTATGGACCACTCATGCCCTGTCCCCTGGTCATTCTACACCAAACCTTGTTCCGCTCACCCCAGCTTTCATCCCGCTTCCGCATTCTCTTTCCTGCTACTTTATTTCATGTGGTATCTTTGTTTATTTATTCACACGAATCAGCCCCCTCCCTTTCCTGTGTCCTTTTTCAATCAGCCCCCAACCCTCTATCCTATGTGCTTTTAAAAACAGCCCCCCCCCCCTCTATCCTATGTCCGTTTACAATCAGCCCCACACCCTATCCTGTGTCCTTTCACAGTCAGCCCCACACCCTATCCTGTGTCCTTTCACAGTCAGCCCCACACCCTATCCTTTGTCCTTTCACAATCAGCCCCACACCCTATCCTATGTCCTTTCACAGTCAGCCCCCCCCCCTTTCCTATGTCCTTTCACAATCAGCCCCACCCCCTATCCCGTGTCCTTTCACAATCAGCCCACACCCTATCCTATGTCCTTTCACAGTCAGACCCACACCCTATCCTATGTCCTTTCACAATCAGCCCCCCCCCCTACCCCGTGTCCTTTCACAATCAGCCCACACCCTATCCTATGTCCTTTCACAATCAGCCCCCCCCCCTACCCCGTGTCCTTTCACAATCAGCCCACACCCTATCCTATGTCCTTTCACAGTCAGCCCCCCCCCCTTTCCTATGTCCTTTCACAATCAGCCCCCCCCCCTACCCCGTGTCCTTTCACAATCAGCCCACACCCTATCCTATGTCCTTTCACAGTCAGCCCCACGCCCTATCCTATGTCCTTTCATAATCAGCCCCACACCCTATCCTGTGTCCTTTCATAATCAGCCCCACACCCTATCCTGTGTCCTTTCATAATCAGCCCCACACCCTATCCTGTGTCCTTTCATAATCAGCCCCACACCCTATCCTGTGTCCTTTCACAGTCAGCCCCACACCCTATCCTATGTCCTTTCACAGTCAGACCCACACCCTATCCTATGTCCTTTCACAATCAGCCCCTACACTCTATCCTGTGTCCTTTCACAATCAGCCCCACACACTCTCCTGCGTCCTTTCACAATCAGCCCCACGCCCTATCCCGTGTCCTTTCACAATCAGCCCCACACCCTATCCTATGTCCTTCCACAGTCGGCCCCACACCCTATCCTATGTCCTTTCACAATCAGCCCCTACACCCTATCCTATGTCCTTTCACAATCAGCCCCACACCCTATCCTGTTTCCTTTCACAATCAGCCCCACACCCTATCCTATGTCCTTTCACAATCAGCCCCTACACCCTATCCTGTGTCCTTTCACAATCAGCCCTACACCCTATCCTGTGTCCTTTCACAGTCAGCCCCACACCCTATCCTTTGTCCTTTCACAATCAGCCCCACACCCTATCCTGTGTCCTTTCACAGTCAGCCCCACACCCTATCCTGTGTCCTTTCACAGTCAGCCTCACACCCTATCCTATGTCCTTTCACAATCAGCCCCTACACTCTATCCTGTGTCCTTTCACAATCAGCCCCCACACCCTTTCCTATGTCCTTTCACAGTCAGCCCCACACCCTATCCTATGTCCTTTCATAATCAGCCCCACAACCTATCCTGTGTCCTTTCACAATCAGCCCACACCCTATACTGTGTCCTTTAACAATCAGCCCCACACCCTATCCCGTGTCCTTTCATAATCAGCCCCCACACCCTATCCTGTGTCCTTTCACAATCAGTCCCACATCCTATCCTGTGTCCTTTCACAATCAGCCCCACACCCTATCCTGTTTCCTTTCACAGTCAGCCCCACACCCTATCTTGTTTCCTTTCACAATCAGCCCCACACCCTATCCTGTGTCCTTTCCCAATCAGCCCCACGCCCTATCCCGTGTCCTTTCACAATCAGCCCCACCCCCTCTCCTGTGTCCTTTCACAATCAGCCCCCACACCCTTTCCTATGTCCTTTCACAATCAGCCCCACACCCTATCCTATGTCCTTTCATAATCAGCCCCACACCCTATCCTGTGTCCTTTCATAATCAGCCCCACACCCTATCCTGTGTCCTTTCACACTCAGCCCCACACCCTATCCTATGTCCTTTCACAATAAGCCCCACACCCTATCCTATGTCCTTTCACAGTCAGCCCCGCACCCTATCCTATGTCCTTTCACAGTCAGCCCCTCACCCTATCCTGTGTCCTTTCACAATCAGCCCCGCACCCTATCCTATGTCCTTTCACAGTCAGCCCCGCACCCTATCCTATGTCCTTTCACAGTCAGCCCCACCCCCTATCCTATGTCCTTTCACAATCAGCCCCACACCCTATCCTGTGTCCTTTCCCAATCAGCCCCACGCCCTATCCCGTGTCCTTTCACAATCGGCCCCACACCCTATCCTATGTCCTTTCACAATCAGTCCCAAACCCTATCCTGTGTCCTTTCACAATCAGCCCCAAACCCTATCCTGTGTCCTTTCACAATCAGCCCCAAACCCTATCCTGTGTCCTTTCACAATCAGCCCCAAACCCTATCCTGTGTCCTTTCACAATCAGCCCCACACCCTATCCTGTTTCCTGTCACAATCAGCCCCACACCCTATCCCGTGTCCTTTCACAATCAGCCTCACACCCTATCCTATGTCCTTTCACAATAAGCCCCACACCCTATCCTATGTCCTTTCACAGTCAGCCCCGCACCCTATCCTATGTCCTTTCACAATCAGCCCCACACCTTTCCTTTCACAATCAGCCCCACACCCTATCCTATGTCCTTTCACGGTCAGCCCCACACCCTATCCTATGTCCTTTCACAATCCGCCCCACACCCTATCCTGTGTCCTGTCACAATCAGCCACACACCCTATCCCGTGTCCTTTCACAATCAGCCCCACACCCTATCCTGTTTCCTTTCACAATCAGCCCCACACCCTACCCTATGTTCTTTCACAATCAGCCCCCACACCCTATCCTATGTCCTTTCACTATCAGCCCCACACCCTATCCTGTGTCCTTTCACAATCAGCCCCACTCCCTATCCTGTTTCCTTTCACAATCAGCCCACGCCCTATCCTGTGTCCTTTCACAATCAGCCCCCACACCCTATCCCGTGTCCTTTCACCATCAGCCCCACACCCTATCCTGTTTCCTTTCACAATCAGCCCCCACACCCTATCCTGTGTCCTTTCACAACAGTCCCACACCCGATCCTGTGGCCTTTCATTTTTTCCGTCCTTGTCCCTTACCTCTCATCCCAAGGTTTATATTTCTGGCCTTCACATTCTCCTAGATATTCTTGCCTTGTAAATGTCCGTTATCTCGAAAACCTTAGGAAAAGTTGCCAAACTTTATCATTGGTGATGTTGCTTCATCGTGCAAAAGAGAAAACAGCCAATGAATCGAACAAAGTGTGTCGGAATATAGGGTGGGCAATTAAGCTATATGAATTGTCTTTTACTATAAGTGGTCTATCAATCAAAATGGACAGGTATGCAGATATGGTGTGTGTGATTTGAATAGGGTATAGTGCCTGCTGTTACACGCCCGTGTGGTTATGTGTCTGTTTGACCATCCTGTGGTAGCCAGGGGCTAAAAATGTACGCAACGCGATATAATGGACAGGTAAACAAGACGGCATCGATGTTGATTTATTGCGCTTTTTATTGAGCTGCATGTTCATGTACTGTTAGATTGTTTACTTTCGTGGCAAAATATAGAAGATACTTGATCATACCTGTATGCATTTTGACAAGACAACCACCGCCCGCGGTTTTCCTGTGTCAGCATGTCAGGACAGCTTATATTTGGAAATACCTCTTCACTCAAAGTTTTAGTCCGTCACAACTGGTATAAATTAAAAAAAGAAAAAAACGAGAACCCCCCACCAACTATAAGTCCGTGTAGATCCGTGTCCTGCCACAGGACATGGAGCTTACTTGGCGTAGTAATGTTTTCGTTGGTTATTTTGGCAACCGACAATGGATAAAACAGTCTTTGAGCTTAGAAAGAAGTCCGATGGGCCTTCACACAATGTAGCTCACCTGTTATTCTGTGACTTTCAAAAAGGCTCAATGTAATTTTATTCTAATAGACTTAATTGCATTACGCTTCACAAAGTGGATCTTTTCAAAAAGATTTTAAAATTCTACATCTTAATAATCTTCGTTGAGATATTTTTTCTTATTTTGTAATCTTCAAAGCTAGTAAATGTCAATGACTCACTTGGCCATCCGATAGATGAACGTCGTGGTATAAAAAATTCCCTTATTAACATCATACCATCATGTGACGAAACATAGCGACACACCATCATGATGAATAGAGAAATAACCAAATACAAAAGTTTGGGTAAGTCTTGTCTGTTGATATAAAATGTGAAGGGCCCTCGTCCCACTGCTAAAATCTGTCACATGTAACCAAGTTTTGGAAACTATTATGTCGGCATGACCATAGCTTTGATAAATCTTATTTTATAAGAAAACCTGGCGGGGCTTTTCTGAAAAACAAATATAAAATAAACAAAATATTATCAACAATAGAGTTCTGAGCGTAAATATTGTGTGGGCTAGA